GCAATTAACGCATATTTATACATCTTCTTGGTTCTTTCGGTAAAGTCACGTAGAAGGGAAATAATAAAATAATAAAAATAAAACATAATAAAATAATTCTCACGACGTTTCGGCCACAACGCAAGCAGCCATCCTCTTCACCTGAGGACGGCTGCTATTTTATTATTTCCCTTCTACGTGACTTTACCGAAAGAATCAAGAAGATGAATCCCTGCAGTCACGAAAGCTTTAAATCGAAACATTTATACACATTCAACATTTTGGAAGTGTTCACTGTGGTTTGTAAATGGCTGAAGCCTGATAATACTGCACAGTCATTTAAATATATATATATATTTTTTCAATTAAGCCAGGTCTAAGCCGATGCAGGAATCATCTATTTTACTAATTTGGCTCACAAACTGGTTGGGCTGTTGTTACTGAGACCTCGGGTATGATTCCTGGCAGCCACCTGTGATGAAACCATTGGGATGGAGAACAATGCATAGATGCCTTAATTCATAAATTCATTCTTAAGATCAAGATGCCTCGACGCGCAAGGTAAGAAGCTATGTTTTTAGATTCAGATATGTCCTGTTATGCCAGGGGGTCACGGCACCGATGCATCAATGAGAAACCCTGAATCACGACCAATGAATCTATCTGCTGGCTGGGTGAAATGTCCCACCCATAGTTTTATTATTCTCAAGGGTAACAATTTGTTAGTCTCAGCCCGTGTACTGTATAGAGGATCACCAAAACCCGTACAATTTTACACCGACTGGAAGATGTTGAGTGATTAAATTCCCACAAATAAAAAGATTTTTGAGTGAACTGTGACGGGTAGGACCATTATCGGTGCTCGACTGTGCAAAGTAGGTCACGGCAGGCGTCACTTGGCAATAATTTAGGAGGAGCAACTTGACTGGATTGGTAATATCTCAAGCACGCGAGCTGTAGTCTTATCTCCTGAGGTCCCTTGGGACAGGAAACCAACTGGAAAAGTAAAACTGGTTGGGGAGGAAGTGGAGGAGATAATAGGGTTCTATTTGGTTGGGAGGGAATCTTAAAATGAGAGTAGCTAACAGACTTGTTGTATCTTCTTGGTTCTTTCGGTAAAGTCACGTAGAAGGGAAATAATAAAATAATAAAAATAAAACATAATTAAATAATTCTCACGACGTTTCGGCCACAACGCAAGCAGCCGTCCTCAGGTGAAGAACAGGTCTGTCAGAAAGACAGCGTCTGAATGAACACCACCAGGCTTGGCAGCGTATATTTAAGCTGGGTTGGAGGGGGAAGAGCGCCTTGACAAATGAATTTGCATATCAAGAGGAATTTAGCATATTTATGGGAAATGCAGGTATGTAATTAGTACCACTTATGCCTGTGCATTATGCAGGATTAGCAGCATCAAAGGGAGGGGATATGGGAAATGCATGTTGATGATAAGTTGCCCATGAAATGTGTTGAGCTGTATGAACATCCTTGCGTGCAGTATTTGTTTATATAAAACTAATAGGCACTAACTAATACTCTCATTAACTGTTTGCCTACAAACATCAGACGGATAAGGAGCTTTCTGAATTCCATCTATTTTTATGCTTGTCTCGTTCAAAGATAGAGACGTTCTTTGGAGGCAAAAATAGGTTTATACAAAAGGCGTACATTTCGACATCCATAATTCAACATTAGTGGTTGTTACTTTTATGTATTTGTTTGGTTGTCACGGTGAAATATTGTTCATAAATATCTTACTGCAACTTAAATGTGCATGTATGTATGGTGAACTTCTTTCGCACCGTACGTAGGCAACCGTGCAAATCGGAGGGAGGATGCCCACAAAATGTGTGATCTTGTCAAGGTCACCCCCTCCTGGTGTTTTTTTTTTGCTTTTTAAACCGAAGCACTGCGAGTTTTAGGAGAATCTCTCAATATTTACCGGTTGCTCAACAGCATTGAAAGCGTGGATTGCAGTCACAGCATATAGATTCATAATATAGAGGCATAGATGCAGAGAATAAGAGGTGATCCTGACAGCGTAAACAAAATGATCAGACTAGAATGACATTCTAAGCTGTTGCTTTTTACACCAAAACTGAGAGGGTTGAGAGAAGGGTTAAACTGAATCGTCACTTTCCATATATGCATTTTGAGTTACACCGTAGCATGTACACACACGTACACACGCACATGGAGAAAGCCTTTTGAGATGCTCACTGTATGAAAGGGCATTGTAGTCGCGAGGCAGACACGGCTAGTTGACAGCTTTGAGGTATTCTTGCAGTGGGTGGCATGCTTCTGCATGCTTAATCTACCGCCAGTGCAAATGTACATTCTTTTGTTTGGCGTATTGCTTCATGCAGGTGCTTAGGGATTTATCTTTGGTCACACTTGCCGCAACCTCTTGACGCCAACAATTATTGTTGATTCGTACTAATACTGGTAGGAACCTCCTGGTTACACCAGCACACAGGGGATTATTGTGTCCGTCCGTCGTGCATACAAAAATGGGTGGGGCTGGGTGGAGAGGTGAGGGTGGGGAGGGAGGGGCTGGGTAGGGAGGCGAGGGTGGGGAGGGGCTGGGTGGGGAGGGTGGGGCTGGGTGGGGAGGGGCTGGGTGGGGAGGGTGGGGGGTGGGAGGGGTGGGGCTGGGTGGGGAGGGGAGGGGCTGATCACCCCGTGGTGCCCTTGTAAAACTCAACGTTTAACCTACTCACGCCGGCTTGTGCCCGCCCTCACAGTCGGGCATATTTGCGGAATACACCACGCCGCCGTTGACCCTGGCCATTGACCGAGCAACCCAACGTTCCTACCAGCTCCCTCCTCAGGAATGTGTTACAGCATGATAGAAATGTGCAAAGAAGCACGAAGAGGTACAGGTTTGTAATTATGCCTGGACCAGAGAACCGACGTAGATTAGACGTGCCGTATCGGATGGCTAGTAGCCGTGTAACGATGCATAGATTCATCAATGTGTAATGAAGCAGTTGTTCAATGCAGAGCGGCCAAATAAATCAAATCATTTGTTGGGAACTAAGTGGTTGTTGGGGCCATTTGGATGATTGGTTGAAGCGATATTTGTGAAGCATGCTTTCCGAGTACTGTCATCTTCCGAGTACAGTCCTGTTCACATGGCACCGCTGAGAAAACAAGTTTGCCTCGTAGACTATGTTGTTTACATTCTGTGCTGTAGGAATTATTGCTGAGACATGATTAACTATAAAGACGCAAACACACTAATCGAGAGTGAGTATTTGCTACGTGAAAAATGTTTAAGGACAATGAAACAACGTTATGGTTGTCCAGGTGGAGTGAAAATAAATAAATCGAAGGTGCAGATGTTGAAACTGACTATTTCGAGCCAATCCAATGTGAACAATACTGGTTTTGGTGTTAGACTGGTGCTTGATCAGCAGTATTCTTGTCGACATGTTTTACACTATCGTGTTCAGAAGGGGTCGAGTATTTAACTGAACTTCCCCCAACCCAGGGATTAGATTAATGTTACCAATTAGTGAAAAGAGTACATTACTTAGTGAACATCTCAATCCTGGCACCTGTATATTTGGAGTTTTCATTTTCTCCCCGTGGTTGCGTGGATTTTTCTCTAGTTTTTCCCCTCCACATTTAGAATCAACATCATGCATTTATGATATTTTGGCTGCTATAAATTTCCACATAAGCCACTTAATTGAGCTATTATTTGTGGCCAGGTCACTTCTCGAAAAGAGCTGTATTACTCAGTGGGCCTTATCTGGTAAAACATTTTTTTAATAATTGATTAGTTTTAACAGTTTTATTTTGCTTTACATTACGTTGAACTGTAGTGTCTGCTGTGTAACGTGAACCCATGACATACAACATAAATGATACAAAATAGAAAAACTGTTTCTTTCACACGAGTCGTGTTGTGAACCTCAGAATCGATATTAATTGATTTCATTTCATAGCAGGTCCTTTATAATTCATAATTAGGTTAGGGCTCATCCATTCAATGTATCTTATGAAGGAACATCCAGAGATAAATATTATTTCATGGTAGTTTTTTTAAGTGCCTTAAAGGAGTTGTGTTTTTTACTATAAAAATGTACTGCAATTTAACACATTTCTGCATTGATAAATGCTGTTTCCTTGTCAATTTAATTCACACAATACAATGTATATTCACACAGCAATTGTATAACAGTCGAGTCCATATACCATCTAACCTATTTAAGCGTTATGTTACCACCCCTTCACCCTGCCGTGACACGCTTAAGAAAAGCTCATGGAGCAAAAATGTGCCTCTTAACCACACGGGCACCTTGACACGAGCGTCACATGCACGGCCTGATCACTGTTATTAGACGCACCGTGCGGTCACAATTACGCATTCGCATTTAACTCGGCTGAGCCCTGGCCTCTCAGAGTCTTGCCACGTGTTGGTAGAACGGCTATTTATAATTAATAACGCGCCGCTTTTTAACCCGGCCACCACTGTAAGGCACGAGTGCCTCGCTCACATTTATTTCCACAGTGCAGTGTCTCGAGGAGGAGGAGGAGGCGGCGGCGAATAAATGGAAGTCCATTATCTGTAATATTCCGCAGCTGTTGCGTAGCAACGGGTCTGATCCTAATAGTCAATCACAGGCTGCCTCTCGCTCTTTTGCTACGCGAGTGGAGGGGGGGTACATTAAAGGGAAGTGGTCCCGAGATAACCCTTTGTAATCGCAGGCTTTCTTACTGTATGAGATGCATTTAGAGTGGTAACGGCCACAAGCGGGGCCACGACACAGGAATTGCATTCTTCAGCCTTGCAGCATTCCGAGGTGGACTATATTAACGCCCACATTGTTATTTGTGCACCGCTTTAAGTATTATGCATTTGCTCAGCCGTTCGCATAAATTCGCGGGGACACATTGGAGTACACAATGAGCAGTCAACTTTGACAGCCAGTTGGCCTCTTTGTCTTCGGAGCCAAAGCTCATGTATCAATAATTCACAACGTTTCTTGCCATTTCTTCTTCTCGCACTACAGTGAAGGATATCCGGAGGCTCCAGGAAGAAAGCAACGGAAAATGTTCCATCCCCATCCAGAGAGACTCCAGGGAAGAGTCCGTTTACAGCCTAAGACGAGAGCCTAGCTACTTTGAAATCCCAACCAAAGACTTCCAGCAGCTACAGCACCAGCAGCAGGTTTTGCAGCAGCAGCAGAAGCAGCAGCAGGTGGCACCGCCAGGAAAGCCACCGCGCCCGCCTGTCCACGAGGCTCCGACACGGGACGTTGCGTCTTCCGAAGCGGACCCAACGACGCAGGCCGTCGTGCAGAGCCACGCCTCCTTCACCATCGAGTTTGACAGCGCCAAGCCGGGCCGCGTCATGATCAAGGACCGCGCCGCTAAATTCGCCACGGATACCGGTCTCCGGCAGAGGCCGAAGCCAGGTCCCCCGAGCCAGCAGCAACAGCAGCAGCAGCAGCAGCAACAGCAGCAGCAGCCACAACAGCAGCAGCAGCAGCAGCCAGCGACGGCTCCGAGCCCGGCGTCCGCGTCACGTTCGGCGTCCTCGCAAGTGGACGCGGCCACTGCCACCGCCAGGAACAAGGTGCACGATTGGCTGGCGCAGCAGGAGCCCATCGTGTCCATGATCCGCAAGGACCTGGCGAGCGACGACGTGATGAGCACCAAGAGCGACGTGCCCGTGCACGGAAAAGTACTGAAAGGTGACGACGGTTGTCAGTGGCGGCGTGGCCGACGTGCTTGCGTGGCGCTTGTAAGGGTGCTTGCCCGATGCGTATGTGCTAAAGATTTTGTGCATTTGCTATGCGAGTTGCAGTGCGGTGAATTCCTAATTGCCGAAGTCTCGTTAGCTGTCCATATTCATAAATGTATCCATAGCTTGTTACTATTTATGAATTGGCAATTAAAATCTAATTATATCAAGTGATCTCTCCTGTAAAGCAAATGTGGGACAATGTCGAGTCAGAAATAATGGACACTTTTAGAAATATTTAAACAAGAGTCTGTGGTTTGGATTTGTTAAAGTGCCAACATTTGTACGGATTGAAGGGTAAAGAACCAATTATCATATTTTTACTGGCAAATGAGGTCCCCATAGTGTAGATGTTTGCCCCGAGCTCTCATACTCTGATGGTGCATTGTCTTTGAGTTGTGCGCCTTTTGGCGTCTTCTGGTCCAACCCATGTGAGACTAGGCTCGAAGGAAAGCTGTCTCGGGTGTGGACCAATCAACTTCAAGGACAGTGCACATTATCAGAGTTATGTCTTTTGTTTGTATTTATGACTGCAGGTATTGCGGTCTATGCAAACATGACTCCTTGTAAAAAGGTGTCAGTTTTGTTGCCAGATAGAAGGGTAAAGAACCAATTATCATATTTTTACTGGCAAATGAGGTCCCCATAGTGTAGATGTTTGCCCCGAGCTCTCATACTCTGATGGTGCATTGTCTTTGAGTTGTGCGCCTTTTGGCGTCTTCTGGTCCAACCCATGTGAGACTAGGCTCGAAGGAAAGCTGTCTCGGGTGTGGACCAATCAACTTCAAGGACAGTGCACATTATCAGAGTTATGTCTTTTGTTTGTATTTATGACTGCAGGTGTTGCGGTCTATGCAAACATGACTCCTTGTAAAAAGGTGTCAGTTTTGTTGCCAGATAGAAGGGTAAAGAACCAATTATCATATTTTTACTGGCAAATGAGGTCCCCATAGTGGATTGGAGAGTAGTTTGGAACCGTGACATTCACTGGTTTTCAGCCAAGGTAGTCTTATAATTTAACAATTTAATTTTAGCTGCATACATTAATAATGCTAAAAAATCGTTCAAAATGTATTTATGATTCTTTCCTGAAATGTTTCATTCTACAACATTTTAAACATTCAAAACACTTCGAAGGATATGCATTTCATGAAAACATCGTGTGCTGTCATGTCGTGTTTATAATTACTTTTTAATTAACACCGTGAAGCCGGTGGCTTTTGTTGTTACGCTCGTTACTCGTCGCTGGCTGGCTTCCGTGTGTATTTGTCTAAAACAACCTTGCGTGCGTGCGCGTGTTTCTGGACCTGCAGGCAGCAAGCACAGGGATGGCACGAGAAGCGATGACGACGCAGAGAGTGACCCAAAGCAGCCGTCGGCTAAGACGAGTCCCGTGGCTGATGCCCCACCGGGCCCTAAGGTACATTCGAATGTCTCTCATTCAGCCATGGGCCGGAGCAGAAATCGGTACCACTTAAGGAAATATAAACGTTAGTAATGCATACTCTTTGGTTCTTTCGGTAAAGTCACGTAGGTATAAAATAAAATAGATCACAATGTTTCGGGCGCAACACAAGTGTCCGTCATCAGTTGGGAAAGCGTGGCCTGCTGCTGATGCAGACTGTTTTAAAAGGTTTGAAATGGGTGTAGCCCAAGGGTCAGACCAAGCTTTCCCACCTGGTGATGGATGCTTGTGTTGTGCCCGAAACGTTGTGATTTTTTTTTTTCCTACGTGACTTTACCGAAAGAACCAAAGCGTATGGATTCCTGCAGTCACGAAAGCTTCAAATCAAGATCGTTAGTAATGTATTTGTTTGACTTAAGAGTGAATTCCTCAAAAACTCGTTTTAAATGGTTATCACATCATTTATTGATGTTGACCACATATCTGGACATATGTGAAAAAAATCTTCATAGCTCATGGGATTCCTCCAAGATAAATAATGATTCTGCTTCTGATGTTGATTAATTGGAATTGCAAAAGTTTTTGAGATCGGTGTCGCCGCCCGTTGGACACTTGTAGTATTACCAACTGTAGTATTGTACCCGCAGCACCCAATAGGGTGCAGAGAGGGTTTTTGGAGGCGAGGGACATCGCACCCCACCCCTTTCCCCACTTCCCCTTCCAATTTACCGCGATCCCATCATGCCTCACTCCTCTGTACCTCATAGTCATGCCACCTCAGGTGGGACCGACAAGTTAACCCTTTCGATTTAAAGCTTTCGTGACTGCAGGGATTCATCTTCTTGGTTCTTTCGGAAAAGTCACGTAGAAGGGAAATAATAAAATAATAAAAATTAAACATAATAAAATACAATTCTCACGACGTTTCGGCCACAACGCAAGCAGCCGTCCTCAGGTGAAGAATGAAACACCATTCTTCACCTGAGGACGGCTGCTTGCGTTGTGGCCGAAACGTCGTGAGAATTATTTGATTATGTTTTAAATTGTTGTGGTTTCACGCTTCAACACACCGGTGGGCTAAAGCAGTGAACTAATTGTCTTTTGTCAACGTGACACTTTTTTACTGATTGGCCGTGTCGGGTGGTGGAGGGTTACGACACATTTATAAATAACGCGATCTAAACCCAAAAACGTTGATTATGAATATTTTATTTTAGCTTTTCTTTTAGCTTTTCTTCTGATTCCTTTCCGATGACGTACGTGTAAGTTAAGTATCTGGTCTGGGCTCATGGACTACATGGCTTGTGGGTGATATCACGCTTTAATTTTATGTTGTAAATAATTTTATTACGATTGTGCTATCGGCATTGCATCGCAAGACGAACAGGTGCCAGTGTACCACCCTGTCGGAGAACAGTCAAGGATGATAACTTTGCAGAACTACCTGTCATGTCAGTAGGCCTCCTCATCAACTCTGCTTGAGTCACATTCACAATGAAACTGGAATGCTTAATTCTCATAACTGGTAAGGGATACATTAAGTGAAAACCCAAATTTTTTATGTTTTCAATGGGGGTTGCTGCCAGGATTCAAACCCAGGATCTCAGTATTGCCAGTTCTGCTCTGATCTAACATGAACTTCCTCGAGTTACACAACTTACCTCCATTGGTATAATTTATCAGTGTTTCATTTAAGTTAATGTATTTATTATACATGCAGCACATTTGCGACGACACCATGGGGTATTATCCGCAATAATGTCTTAATTTTATGCTCTTATACATCATGATTTCGGCGATAACAAAAGAGTAAAGTAGATTTCTATTGAACGTATCGTCTGTATATTTTACATTCACCAACTACCTTTGATGAAACCAGATTTTTTTGTTCCATCCCATCGGCGTACAATGCAACACTTGAAAATGAATTGCCCACCTGATACATTTTTTGTTGCTGCCAAACAGAGCAGTCGCTACTGTTAAGCGATAGAAACAAATGATGATATGGGTGGTATGGTACAGATTGAATGGCAAATACTTTGAGCTTCTAGATTTGAAGTTTTCGTGACTGCAAGGATCCATACTCTTTGGTTATTTCGGTAAAGTGACGTAGATGAAAAATTAAAATATTAAATCACGACGTTTCGGAGGCAACACAAGCTTCCGTTATCAGGTGGAACAGCCACAGCAAAATTTACTGTAGTGAGTAGTACATTTTGCTGTGGCTGTTCCACTTGATGACGGAAGCTTGTGTTGACTCCGAAACGTCGTGATTTAATATTTTTATTTTTCATCGACGTGACTTTACCGAAAGACCCAAAGAGTATACTTCGAGCTTCATTCATGTGTTTGCAGGTTCTGCAGATTTTCACTGTAAAAAAACTGTTAATTTTGAAAAATATAGCAGCCATTGGGGCCTCTATCCATCAATAATTATTGGCAAAAACTGCTTTTCTGACAACATATGCACCTCGGCCGCCTAATGTTGTATTATAGCTCAGAGCTGCAATTTTGATGGCGAACGATATTTACCGTGCTGCCTTTCCCTTCCCACTCCCCCCAGGCCTTCACCATCGAGTTCTTTGATGAAGACCACCCTCGCAAGAAGCGCTCCTCGTCTTTCACGCACCGCGACGGGGTGCCCTTCTCATCGAGCAGCCAGCCCGACCGCTCATCCTCTCCAGGCCTGGCAGCCAGGGGCGCGCGCACCACAACCAAGACGCTGCCTCATCCGCTGCATCAGAATCAGCTGCCGCCTGCACCGCCCCCGCAGCAGCAGCAGCAGCCGCAGCAGCAGCCTCAGTACTTCTCCCGCGCTGGGTCGCACCGGGCATACAGCAGCATGGGGCGGCGCTCCAAAGTATCGCTCGACTTCCAGCAGCTAAAGAAGGACGTTACCGGTGGTGACGGCGGCAGTGGCGGTAGTGGTGGCGCAGAACGCAACAACGACACGGCTGGTTACAGTGTCGATGTCCGTCACGGTGACGGTACGCGGGCAAACTCGGGAAGCCGCGACGATGACGATGATGTCGACGATGTCCAAAGCGGTGGCAACCGCGGGGAAGACGCGGTCAGGGGCGAGGAGGACAACCACAGCGACGCCGGCACGTACACCATCGAAAGCGAGCTAAAGAACAAGGAGGAGGAGAGAGCTCGCAGCATGATCGACCAGGTGATGCCACGGCTGAGTCATTCATTCCCTTGATTAAGCTGTCAATTGCCGTGCAGTACTTTACACGCGTAAAAGCTGATTGCGAAAGCCTAAACGATCCCCTAATTGAGGTTATTGTGTAGAATTAATTGATCTATTCTGGCGACGTAGCTCAGCGGTAGTGAGCGACTTGCAATCTTGAGGTTGCAAGTTTAAATTCTACTTCTGGGTTACCTCAGCTCATCAGCCCTCTGGAGTCGATAGAAAGAGGTCCACTTGTGGGGTAGGTAACAATGGTTGTCTTACGGATAGACCCACCCCAACCATAGCAACGTGGAATTTCCACCACTGGCTTCATATGGATGTTGTAATCAGGACATGAACGCACCGCCTCAATGCTCATTTGCTCAGAAAATCACTTTGATTAACAGCGAGGCTAAAGCTCAGTTTGTGCTGCCAAGCTCGAGGTAACAAGAGTGCATGAAGTCATCATCAAGCATCATCATCGTTGTCATCACGAGTCGTCACCGCAGTAGTTTCACGTGTTTTTCTGTATCTTTTATAAAAACTTTCTATTTGCCGTGAAATAAATTGCGACGGCACTTCTTGTTGCCAATCGTATTATCTCCTCCACCTCTCTACACTGCATGCACGAGCACCTCCTTGTCCCCCACGTGCGCCTCGCCTCCCGATTTAGCACGGTTGGCGATGTACACTCTACAGTGCCACTCAAAATGCATGTGGACAAGTTAAATTTAAAGGCCCTCCTCTCAACTTGTTAGTTTTGGTGTAAAAGTAAACAGCTTAGAATGTCATTCGATATAGTAATAGGTTTTTACACTTTTACCTGGCAACAAACTTGACACCTTTTTACAAGGGATCATGTTTGCATTAACCACAACACTTGCGGTCAAAATGCAAACAAAAAGACAACTCTGATAGTGTATGCACTGTCCTTGAAATTGATTGGTCCACACGCGAAACAGCTTTTCTTAGAGCCTAGTCTCACATGGTGTTGGACCAGATGACGCCAAAAGGCGCACAACTCAAAGACAATGCACCATCAGAGTATGAGAGCTCGGGGTAAGCATTTACATTGAGACCTCCTTTGCCAGTAGCAAAATATATCTTGTTCCTGGCAAAGGAGGTCTCAATGTTATTCGATGTTTGTCAGGATCACCTCTTTTTCTCTGCATCTATGTCTCTATATTATGAATTTATATGTTGTGACTGTATTGCATGTTTTCAATTGAATGTCGAGGGATTCTCTTTAAACTTGCGGTGCTTCAGTTTAACAGCAAACAAAAAAACACCAGGAGGAGGGGTGACCTTGACGACAACACACTTATATATTTTGAGCATTCACTCTCCGATTAGCACAGTTGGCTACATATGGTGCGAAAGAAGTTCAACATATATGTACGTATGTGCCTACCTGTTCCTCCGCCATCCCACAACTTTTTCTACTCACGCAATATTCCCAATGCTTTGCCCTGCCTCCCCCCACCCCCTTCCCTACCTTGTCCCCGAGCAGGTGTTTGGCGTGTCCGACCCGCACGAGTACCCGGGAGCGGCCCCGCCAGCACGGCCCGCGTCCCAGACGCCGCCTCCGCCACCGCCCACGGCGACCGAACGTCAGGTCCGCAAGATGCTGCACTCCAAGAGCCAGTCCTTCAGCGGCGAGGAGTCCTTGAACTTCCCGGGCGGTGGCTCGGTAAAGGCAGCGCACACCCAAACGATGTTGGCCTGCAATAAAGTCCACATTTAAAATGTACTTTAAGTGTTTTTATCATTTATAATTCCCATAGACATTCCACTTCTGGATGAAGGCTTCCCAATACCACGTTGATCGTGGGGATTTTTTTGACCATATTTGCGGTTTTGTAAATGAGGGTTCGGTGCCCAGTATATGTTAAGATATCGCTCGTCATTGATAAGAATGGTTGGCTACGTACGGTGCAAATAAAGTTCACCATACAGTATGCCCGAGTTACCCTTAGTGACCTCAAATAGTTAATATCTTGGAAGCATAAATTTCGATTTAAAGCTTTCGTGACTGCAGGGATTCATCTTCTTGGTTCTTTCGGTCAAGTCAGGTAGAATGGAAATAATAAAATAATAAAATTTCTATTCTACGTGACTTTACCGAAAGAACCAAGAAGATCTTGGAAGGAATTAAGAGTTGAATCTGATTCGTACTTGTATGGGAGACCACATGGGAATACAGTAAAACCTTGGATTGCGAGCATAATTCGTTCCGGAAACGTGTTTGTAATCCAAAGCACTCCTATATCAGTTGTGATCACGTGACGCTCGGCAGACAAAGCGTATACACGTACTCCTCATATTGCAAGACCTCGCTCGTTTATCAATTTAATATTTATTTTAAAAATTTGCTCGTCTTGCAAAACACTCTCAGACCAAGTTACTCGCAATCCAAGGTTTTACTGTACCAGGTGCTGTATTCTTGGTCTACGAGGTGGCCAGGAGCTAACAGTCCAGCATTGGAGTCTTGAGCCAAGCTGTGCGGAGCTCTGAATGTTGCTCCTTATGTGTAGATTGTCTCTGGGTACTCTGGCTTTCTTCCACATTCTAACCACTCATTACTGGAATTGGACAAACATCCCAAAGCAGGACCTTACTGAAAAGCAGTATTGAGACTCAGGTTTTCCTGGGTAGGTAAAGGACATTTGACCTTTCACCAAATTTCTACGAGATGAAGACATTTGTTGTAGTTTGTGACGGGATAATAACATCATTAATACATGTAAATAAATGCTCGTCCTATGAGTAGGCTGGCCTCTGTCATAGGAATGTGGAATTTCCACCACTGATTCAGAGTCGGTGACGGAGTCACGTTCTACCCCAATGTTAAAGCATGGAGACACTCGGAATTACTTTTTATTTTACTTTTACAACAAATGTATTTTAGGATAGCCACGGTTAAAAACACCACTTTGTCATAATATTGTTTAAGGTGTTCTGCATAATTACATGGGTGTATTGTTTTTTTAAATGCACTTTGATAAACGTAATTAGCAATGTTTTTCATTAAACGTCCTTGTCAATAAATGGAAAGTACCGAGAAGAAATAAATTTATTCGTGAAAATGAGACACATTTTTCTTATCGCCACGCACACAGCCCTCGCCGAACAGACAACGGCATTCATTATTGGGTGCCTGGTTTGGGCGTGATAGAGCAAACTACAACATCGTCACACCACTTAATGTCACCTTTGGGCTTTTGTTGTAAACACAACGCATGACAACTTTTTATATCGCGGTGTTTCTCGACGTGTTTCCACACCTTGCTTTTTCCTTTCTGTTAAGGCGTCTGGCTTGCCAAGTGGTTACAGCATGGAAGTGAAAATGTAATTTCTACTGTCACCTTTGACTGAACTTTATTGAATCATCAGTTCCGCTTTTTGCCCCATGGCTTATAGTGGACTTTTTGTGTGGAAATAGTCACAGCGAGCGAAACGTTTTTCGCGAAATTGCACCTTGCTTTATAAATAAAAATACCCATGTTCATCCTTGTGATGCACTGCTCACTTTCAATACTGTACCTTGAGGTGTAATGTAGATACTATAATAAACCCAAATTGTGTAGTATTGCAAATCCTTGCATATATTGTTGACTCTGGCCACTTTGATCAGTTACAATGGATTTTTGTCAATGTGTTCTCTATTTTACACATGTTAGGTGTGCATTAGTATGCTCGGTTTGAATGGCTCAAAAAAGGCAAAATACTGATCATTGGAATTGGCTTAACATCTCCATGTACTATCCTGAAATATAATATAAAGACTGAAAAGTTCCTGTTTTAAATTCTGCCATATTATATATTAATAGTAGGGGTGAAATAATTGTCCCTTTCAATTATGAAACAAATTGTCAAGATTCAGGGTTGGAATTCAAGAAACGATTCTGTTTTTTTTTGTTACTTGGCGATGAATGGTAGCACCTCTAGTGGCAGTAGGGATTGCAGGAACCCATTACTTGGAACGTATACGAATATGAAACATTAGTATGCATGCAACTGTGAGCTTAATATTTGATACGAGTGTGGAGGGTGGTATTGGCGAGTAAAATATAAATTCATTAATTTATGTGTCACTTGACTCGCAATACACGGACGTTGTGCGACCGGCGTTCTCGTGAATGTGCGACTGCAGGCAGTGCAAGCGCCTATGTCTGCTGGGAGCCCTCGCTGGGTGTCTCGCTGGGCCAGCCTGGCCGCCACCCATGCCACTGACCAACCCGAGGCGCCAGAGGTTTCCCGTGAGCGCAGCCTGCCCGCCACTGCCGGAGACCGTGGTCAGTATGGCCAACTCCCCCACTATCCAAGGGTGATGTGGGGGGAGAGAGGTATGGGGGGAGAAAGGTGTGGGTGGAGGGGTGGCTTGGGCAAAAGAAAAACGTGGATAACGCGTGCATATGCCGTACAACTATATTCTTGGGTTTTTTCGGTAAAGTCACGTAGGTAAAAAATTAAAACTAAAATTAATTAAAGTAAAATAAAAATCACGACGTTTCGGAGACAACACAAGCTTCCGTCTTCAGGTGGAACCGTCACAGCACGATAGCTGTATCAAGTAAGAGAAATTCCAAGAAAACAGTCCTTGTATATATACTGGTTGAGGGTGGGAGGAGCCAAGGTAGGCCCTGAATATTGTTTTTGTGAGCTTCGGAGCGGCTGAAGCACAGTACAAATATGTTTATCGTTTACCGACAAAGAATGAGGGGTTTGTATGTATGGTGAACTTCTTTTGCACCGTATGTAGCCGACCATGCTAATCGGAGGGGTGGATACCTAGTAGAGTGTCGTCTGTTCTCTGTGGGTTTATAAAGTAATCGGTCCACTTGCAGACGTGTGTGTGGCTAAGAGGGCCCTGAGTCATAGGCCCGCGACAGGTAAGGAGCAGCTAACCATAATTTTAAAAAAATTAACCCGTAAAAACAAAGTTTTTCACTATAAATCCTTTATATCCGTGTTCAATGGGCCACAACCCAGCCCACATTGGTCTTTGAAACGGGCGGCTAGAGTCCTCTCGTCCTCTGGCTTGAGATGGCTGCCACCTATGGGTCAGATGATTGCCTGCCACCATTAAGCAATTGGTAATTAAATATAATAAAGAATTTACCTAAAAAGTGTAAAATTTTGGAAAAAAATTTTCACGAAAATACATTGTCACGACCACGAGTCTGTGTGCAAAATGTCAGCTCGATTGGATCACGGGAAGTGGGTTAAAAAACGACCGAAAGATTTGCACGGTCGTAAGCGCGCAAGCAAGCAAGTGAACTTAATATAAAGGATTTAAAAATATCGGACACCTTTACGCATGCACTTGTTTATTTCCCAACGTTTAGTTCACAACTTCAAATACTTTGGCCCTTGGGTGATGGAGGGTTCGCTGTAGTTCATGAAGTCTGCCATCAATGCCATTTTATATATATATATATATGCCAGGTTTTACATCCAGGTTGGCTTGTTCCAGCGGCTTTAACCTAATGTTTAGTCATTTCTACACAGAGGTTGTCTGGTTAAATTTCGATTTAAAGCTTTCGTGACTGCAGGGATTCATCTTCTTGGTTCTTTCGGTAAAGTCACGTAGAAGGGAAGTAATAAAATAATAAAAATAAAACAATAAAATAATTCTCACGACGTTTCGGCCACAACGCAAGCAGCCGTCCTCAGACGCTGTCGCCTCGACAGACCTGGTTTCACCTGAGGACGGCTGCTTGCGTTGTGGCCGAAACGTCGTGAGAATTATTTTATTATGTTTTATTTTTATTATTCTATTACTTCCCTTCTACGTGACTTTACCGAAAGAAACAAGAAGAAGGTTGTCTGGTGTTGGCAAAACACATACGTTTTCTAAGATGCATTATATTCAACTTACAAACCAGGCTTCTGTTTCACTGAGTGGCTGTGCATGCCTTGTGTTTACACTCACACATGTGGCACAGACACAAGTCTCCGAGGACTTGGGCTTTCTGGAAAAGTTTTTTCCAATAGTGTTTGTTTCAGCAGGGCAAACACTCAGACACATTTTGGCTTCAAAACTCAATTGTTCAAAACTGGCACCAGTTTTGAACTCTCATGGGTTTTTTCGGTATTGGTGATGAAACAGACCCATGCGTGTTAATTTATTTAGTGCTTTATTACCCCACATCCTTCTAAGACAATAACACATTTCACACATATCATGGGACCTTTTTGGCAGTATTCAAGGTATGAAAAATAAGAATGTTTTACCCTTTCTAGCAATAAACAGGTGTTAAGATGTTCAAACACCAAATCGATATATTTTTGGAAGGAATCAAGTCTGCATTGACCACACAAACTTGTGGTGAATATGCAAACAAACATGCTTTGATAATATATGCATTGTCTTTGAAACTGATTGGTCTACACCAGAGACAGCCTTCGTTTTGCCCTTTTGAACATTTTCATGCCCGTTTGATCATCTTACCACTTGTTGTATTGCCAGAAATTCTTGTTTTTCATACATTTCATACAGTTTGTACTGGGCTGAAAGCGTTCCCACCATGTGATTGGAGGGCTCTTGCCTATAACACCAAACAACCTGAGCAGCATTTGTTTACCACGAGGTACCCGACTGATGAGACCCTGACTTATCAAATGCCGCTGGAAAATATTGGTCCGAAAGGCCAGTAGGTTGATTCTATTTGCTGTGGACGTATAGCCCTTTTATCAGGCTGCTGCTGGATGAGTGCCTCCCCACACCAAGCTGGTCACCAGGGTTGTTTGACCAGACATGGTCAGTGTGGGTTCATGAAGTCAGGAAGCATAGGCATGAGAGCATGGAATACAAGTAGTCCTCTACCCTGCTGCTGCTCTATATAAGAACGGGAGACAGAGCAGAGCCTCACCATTCTGGCGAATTGCCCGATGATGCTGGATGCAATTACCAGCGAAACGTCGTACTCAAAAATTGTAAATGTTGTGGTTTCACGCTTCAACACACCGGTGGGCTTAAAGCAGTGAACTATTTGTCTTTTGTCAACGTGACACTTTTTTACTGATTGGCCGTGTCGGGTGGTGGAGGGTTACGACACATTTATAAATAACACGATCTAAACCCAAAAACGTTGATTGAGTCCTCTACTTACGATGGAGATGCATTACGACGACCCCATCGTAAGTCGAAAATATCGTAAGTCGAAGATGGCCTAGCCTACCCAGGAGTCTTAAAGAATGGTGATAATTTATCAAAACAGAGCAATTAACAGTACCTTACTGTATAAACTATATACTGTATGTATTATTAATTACAATACTGTATTGCACAGTAAAATGTAAAGTAAAAAAAACAAGGTAAATTCTTAGCCTACCTATATGAACTGCAATTGAATAGAAAGTTTTTTCAGGAAACAATCCTATCTGCTCTAAAATCTTTTAACATGCATTGAACGTATCGTATCGTGGTAACCTTAAAATGAAATCGCTAAAGCTACGTATCACACAAGCACTGAACGTATTGTAACGTATCATATTGTACTGTACTCACCAAGATTCTATCCATCGTCTGCATACTTGAACGATGTTAGGTTGTTGACAATTTTGTCATATCGCTATCGCCATCGTAATATCGAAATATCTCGGAGACTACCTGTATAGTACAACAATTGATTTTGCTGCAATACCCTCTACTGCCAAACCATGTAGCCCACGTCTTGTTTTAGTTGTTATTCTATCATTTATTAACTTTTTAGGGGTGGCAGTAGCTAAACGGACAGTTTTTTCACCTATCATTAGTTCAAATGCAGGCTTATTATATTGACATTTGTTGTTGTTGCCTGTGCCTTCTGTGTCAGATGGTGACGTCAGCGAGTCTGCCTACTCGAACAGCTCCGTTTCGCTGACCTCGGACGTGGCCCTGAGCGTGTCCGGCGTCGGGAGGAGACATCGCACTCTTCCGCAGGCTCCCGAGCGGCCCAGCTCCAAGTCTCCGGACCTTCGTCGAGACTTCACCACCTCCGACGTGGTGGTGCTGGACAAACGCGACAGCGCCCGACGGCTCGAAACGCGCGCGCGCCTCCGCCAAGGGCGGCGCCGCCGCCGTCGTCATCGACGACACGAGGCCCTCGTCGCACGCGCAGAGGGCCGACGGAGCTCCCTCCTACGGCGAGAGCCCCGCGGAATCCGCGCACAAGTACGCCGGCGTCAAAGGGCGTGAGCGCTGGGGGGGACTCGGCGGGCTCCTGGACGGTGAGCAGCATCGCGCCCGGCAGCTCGGCGGACTTTGACGGCGCGGCTGAAGGGCCGCGCGCGCACACCCACAACCGCACCCCCAGCGTCGGCGAAGAGCCGCTCGGCGCGCGGCTGAACGCGTCCCTGGCGCGCGTCAAGTCCAGGGGGAGGAGGAACACCCCTGAGCCGGCACCTCCAGGGCCACGGGACGAGGATGATTTCGCACACGAGAAGCACAGACCCCTGCAGAGGAAGGGCAGCTTCACCAAGGAGCGGCCCAGCAGCGAAGTGCCACTCGACGAGATCCCGCAAATCAACGGAGGCCCCGGCCCCAAAGGCGCGAAGAGCCCCGGGGCCGTGTCGGACACGGCCTACCTGCTCAAGGACACGGAGGCTGCGCTGCACTCGCTGGAGGCCAAGCTCCACAGAGGTTACCAGGAAGACAAGGCCCGTGGTCGCGGGAGGCACGGCCGGGCCGACGACCCCCAGGGTAGTAATCAGACGTCGCCGGCCTCGCTCGAGTCGGACGCCGACACGGCCAGCAGCGGCACGTCAGCCAGCCTCGTCGCAGACAGCAACAGCAGCAGCCACGGTGAGCAGAAGCCGCTGCACAGGCGCAGGAGCTACAGCAGCCTGCACAGGGAGAAGGCGGTCGTAATGGGCACCGTATCCGCCGACCCACAGGCCAAGGCGGTGGCAACGACAGCGGGTGATCTGAAGCACAAGGGAAGGCGCTCCGAGCCTAGCTACAGCAAGCAGCTGCAGAAGGGCATCAAGGCTGCTCTGCTCGCCACCGGCGAAGGTGCAGATGACGACGACGATGAGGACCTGAGGCTTTCGCGATCGGGGATCGTAGAGCCGTACGATCAGAGCCACGCAAAGTCGTCGGCCGGACGGGAAGACCGGAGCCAGCGGCCATCGCCTGGTTCGAGCACAACCATCTCCAAGCCGAGACCCACTCGGGCTTCGATCCTGCGTCGCGCGCGGCTCGGAGACGCGTCCGACAACGACGCCCAGGCCGAGGTGGAGACGAGCAACAAGCAGCAGGCGTCCACCTCCAAGCGGCCGCCGTCTCGGCTGGACATCCTGGCTCAGCCGCGGCGGAGGACGGGCTCGTTCACCGCGCGCAGCACCGACGCGGAGAGCTTGGCAGCGTCGCGTAGTGGCGGGCGCGCGTCGGTTGCCGGCGGCAAGGGCTCGACGGGGGCCGCGGGTGGAGGAAGCGGTGGTGCGGCGGCGGCGCCGGGTGCTGCTCGGAGCAAGTCATTCCGCGAGCCAAAGTCGGCGGGGTCGGTGTCGCGCTCGCAGAGTCTGTCGCGCGGTTTCGACCAGGGCAAGTCGCGGTCGAGCAGTGTCAACCGAGGCTCCGCCACAGGTGAGTGCCGGTGTCAACGGCCCTCATCCCAACTGCGATTCATTCTTGCCGTCATTGACGTAACTACGCGATCGCTTGGTGGGCTGACTTTGGGGTGGATGTGGTAGATGATCATGCTATCGTCCGTGTAAGGTCACCCCCACCATTGAGGCCATGAGTCGGCCTCTGAAGGCGCAAAGTAGGCAGCTGACTTTTTTTGTTATAGTTTTATAAATAAATTGGCCAAGCAGTATAATGACAATGTTAATCATCAGTGATTCTCAATCTCAAGTGGCCCAACAATTGTATTACTCTAGACTTGCAAAAGAAATTAAAGCAGGTAACACCAACCAAGTTAAGTAGGCACATTATGAATAAATAACAATGCCAATTATTTACCCAAGATTAATTTTCTAGGAGAGTCCTGGATGTTTGGCCAATGCTATACCTGAGGAGTTGGCATGTTGTAGAAATCTAGTGGGTCCAGAGAAAATCGACAGAAAAGAGGTAACATTCACCACTACCATCTACTAGATACCTCAAATCAGTTCAATTCCCACACGAGGTTTTAGATTGATAATTATGTTTAAAGTTAATTTTCTAAATGGCATCCACCACACCTGGCATTCAGGGCTTTTAGAACCTTGTTCTTGAGTTAGAAACTGGTTAATATGTCTGTGAAATCAACCCTGCCCGTGCATTGGTGTGTGGGACATTGTTCAGGTTTAATTATACTGGCTTAACCAGAAATCTAGCAGGTTGCCTGTATGGGCAGGAAACGTGGTGATTGTCATGCACTGTACACGTTTGCTATCCACTTAGTTTATTTTTTAACCACAGGATTCCAACTGCATTTTTCGAAGCTGCAGTCTTTCCAGGTGTCGATTCTTGACGCCCTCTGAATTCATGCAGTGCATATCGTAGCATCTGTCTACGTTTGTGGCTTAGCAGTGTATGGGTAATCATGTGGCAGAGCACTGCAGGGGTAGGTAAACATTTGAGGTTTATTTTGCAGTCCTCCATTCTGGCAAGTTTAAAAAAAGAAAAATGGCACGACATAATTATCTTGTTATAAGTAGCACCGTAAAATATCCTGCCCATAAAATTTCTATCTTTGACTTGCACAACATTTGCCAAAGAGCAGTGTGGATAGTGCATTAACATAATGCAGTCTCATGATAAATTATGGTTATATTCTCATTTAAGGCCTGATATAACTCAACAATATATCAAGCTATGACTAGATGTCACTCCTTTCAAATGTAAAACATAAATGCCTGGCTAATCTAAATACAAGGTTATAATTTCCTTTCGTGGTCTGTTAGAATTATAGATCATAATCTCTCTGAACTCCTCTTTTTTTACATAATTGGGGGTATTTTTTTCCGCATGCATCACCCCTTAATACGACCACGCTACGCTTGAGCCAATACAGATTCAGGGGGTCTGTGTCTTAAGTTCAAGTTTTCATTTATTAGGTATAGCCCTGTGAGCCATTCGGCTCTTGAATTGGGTGCAACCGCAACAAACAAAAATGTGCCACGTTGAAATGCCACAGAGTGATGCCCGGTATAGTAAACAGATTGCTTCTGTACTACGCTGCGTGAAGTGAGGCGAAGAATTGCAGTATGCAAATTCTTTGAGTCTGCCAGAGAAATAATTCATGAGGGCAATGGATGTATTCTCTGGCCACGGCCAATGTCACAACCGGAATGAATAATTGAAACATAGTTGGTTGGTTGGTTTATTATAACCTGTGGCTCCGAAGCCGCATGCGGCTCTTCAAGGACTGCTTTGTGACCGTTATTTATTAAGGACCAACATGCATTGCGGCTCTTGAATTTTTTTTTTAAACTGAATTCGAAAAAAATGCCGTCTCTTGTTATTTTAGTCACCGTCCCCTGGTCTGTCTCTAGCAACGTCACACGTACTACAGGTTTTACTATTTTGATGAGCGTTTAATCACCCATCTCCACTAGAAATATGCAGCAAACAAAATCATCAATTAACATGCTCACGAAATTGACTCTCTTTACATTAGTTTTTTTTACGACTTGCACTTTACCTCTTTGGGATTATCTACAGATCATATATATCGTAAAAAAGGTTATAACATCCAATTATTTTCTGCTCAGCAACAGGAATTGCCTTTCATAATTTTACAGTTTTACACACATTTCAGTCACACAGTCAACAAGTGCTGAATTTGCGCTCCACAATGCCATTGACAACAATGCGCAGCAAATGCACTTCGCAATGGCGTTTAATAGTTGGCAGTGCTATCTTCAGACCCTGTTCACATTCCTTGATGATTTTGATGATGATGATTATTATTATTCTACTACAATTATACTATTAAAACGTTCATTTCATGAAAACAATATATATACACACACCAGTAGCTAATCGTAGCAAACCAATTAAATGTATTCCCAGGTTGGCATTCCTACGCGTCACGATTGGTTGTAAAATCTAAATGATTTTTATGCTCGCAAGGCTGCCTCCGCAAGGCCCCACATGTTCTGCTTTTAAGTGACGCAAATTAACGGTGAAGCGTGGTCCTGGTGGCAACAACACCATCGCAATTCTACGTGATGATTTAGATTCGATTTATTTCAGCAAGGAAGGGCCCAATGAGCTTGCTAGGCTATTTCATGGGCATCCTGTGACGGTACGGATATTACACAGTAAAGATCTTAACATGTAGGCTTTCGTGACCAATATTATTCATAATATAGGTTTTTGGGTCAGATCGCGTTATTTATAAATGTGTCGTAACCCTCCACCACCCAACACGGCCAAACAGTAAAAAATATAATTACAATTATCAGCGAAACGTCATACTCAAATTTTTAAATGCTGTTGATTCTCTCTACAGCACACCGGTGGGCTAAAGAAGTGAATTATTTTGTCCTTTGAAAAACGTGACACATTTTTTACTGTTTGGCCGTGTCAGGTGGTGGAGGGTTACGACACATTTATAAATAACGCGATCTGACCCAAAAACCTATATTATGAGTAAAGATATTCTTGACAATTATGGTTACATAGGTCGCGATACAAACAGTGAGTATCGGTATGTACTTAAAATTAGTGAATGTTCTTTTCCGAACAAAACTATAGGAAGGAAAAAAGTGTAATTTAACAAAGCAAACACAATCAGTAACCGGGAACCCTAGGTATGATCTATATAGACTCGGGCTCACACATCTCTGCCGATTATTTATTAGAGCTACGTATATGAAGGCACTTGAGTTTCAGGAGTGAACGGAGGTTTCTCGTGGTCGGAAATGATTGAATTCCAAAATCCTGTGCGATAATGGTGGTTTAAAAAGTATATTAACCATCGGTAGTAGTGTTCTACTAACTCCAATCTTGTAGCTACACACCTACTCTTTGTGTCCTGGGCTGTCAAGACGCATGCTTGAAGCTTTGTTATTGAGAAACAATGACTTAAAGTTACAGCCAGGTGCACCATTGTAGCACAAAAGTGACAACTCTTGACGTATTAAAATATACCGCATTGGCAGACTTAGCTCGAGTGCAATATCAAGCCCCTGGTGGTAACTTTAAAGTTTATTTTTCCCTCTTCCAGGGTGTCAAACTCATGTTGGGGTAGCCCTGGGACATTCTCTCCTTGAGAATAGTCACTTGTTGTTTGTTCTCGTTATTACGTTAACCTGACCTCGGCATAACTGTTGGGCTGTTTTGTTTTTCAACTGGTGCTGCATGTTGAAGGTGTCCTGTGTTCTACCGAGGGGTTTTGGTCATTCTGTTTTTGTTTTTGTCTCCTATTTGCTGTGGATTTGCACTTCCCTTCCCTGTGTTCTCCACTACTCCTGGGTGCTGCTTTGCTTTTGTACACGCGCGTGCCCATGCATGCACGCACACACACACGGACATGCTCACCCAAACCACAACATTCCTCACCGCCCCTCTCCACCCTCGACGCTCGCACCTACCTCACGAGAATGAGCAACGCACGCTGCTCACATCACCGTGCATGCACACGCGTGCAAATCGCACACGTGCAAATCGCACACGTGCAAATTGCTTGCCTTATCGCACGATGACACGCTCGCGTATTTAACCATACACGTACCCGCATGTGAACGTTGACGTATTTGCTCACTAACACAAAACTCGCGTACCCGCACGTGAATGCACATGCACGTACGAACACTCAACCCCCGCCCCACACACTACCCCGCATGTACCACCGGCATGCTTTACGCGCCGACCCCCGCAACGAATGCACGCGGCCCCCCACGCATGCAACGCCGGGCACGGCAGGCACTCGCTGGCGCCGCTGCCCCACAGACTACACCTCCACGTCGGAGGAGGACTCGAGCTCCCCTAAGCACGCCACCGCCGCGGCCCCCCCTCGCGTGCGCCCCTCCCCCACAGCTGTAGCAGCGGCGGCGGCCGCGGCGGCGGCGTCGTCGCGAGCCGACCGGGCCTCCTCCTCCGCCGTGGGGTCGAGCAAGCGCCGCTCGCGTTTGCCCGACGATGATGACTACATCCGCGACTGGAACAACCACAGCGAGGAGATCGCCCGGTGAGGAGCGTGGCGCTGCGAGGGTCGGTGTGGTGGCAGCGGAGGGATTCCATTTGACGCTTTCTAATGAAAGTCGGGAGTGTTATTTTGTTAGCTCTGGCCTGTCCATCTGTACCGGCAAGTCCACGATTACTCTTGTAAAAATAATGCCCATTACCAATCGACATTTTGTGTCAACTTGTGTTGCTACCGAGATTTGCCCGACAGAAAACTGGCCAAATGGATCAAAGGGTTGGCATAAACTCCGCAATGAAAAGAGCAGCACTAAATAGACAGCCTTTTTGGCAAAGGAGACGATGTCACATGTCACGTGCGTGCCTCTTATCTCCATGACATTATTACCCGTGATATAATATCACTGTGTCGCATGTTGTGCGCCACGTGATGGCATCTAATTTTTCAGCTTTAGAGGTAGTATCGCTAATTAAACACTTCCAAGGACAAGTACTTTTTGGAAGGCATTATAGCATCCATGCATGTGCATGATTTTTCTTCATTTGAAAAAATGTTGCTGGTTACCGAAGTATATTGCAATCTATTCGGAACTCTACAGTGAGCATTGCATCACCCTGTCTCGGGGAATGGCTCTGTAAGATGAGGCGACGTCACAGAATATCACGAGGTTTCTTTATCTGCACTAGGGTTTCACGCCATTTCCATGGTCTGCAAAAGGTGTTCATCACATGTCAATAAAACTGAAAATATGAAGTCATGGAGCTAGTACTTGGCCAAATGCAGTGAACAAAATGGAATGCAATGGCCTTTTTTGTGCAGTAATTGGTGACTGGGCTGAAACCATCAACTTGCTGCACTGGAGAGACAGGTTTAATCACAGGTGTCTGCCCAGATTCGAACCCAGCGGTCCCAGCTCAGTAGTACTACCCTCCGTGCGACCTGACCATTGGCCAAAGGGCTGTACAAAGAAATAATATAAAAACATATAACCATGTGTTTGTTCACTTAAATGGGCTAATAAATAAATTAAATGTGATTCCCTTGGTAAATATATCATCCAGTACAGGAGTTATTGCTGGTTTTACACGTAGACTTTCGCGACCAATATCTAAACTAGAGTTTTTTTTTGGTTAACGCGTAAATATAAATGTGTCGGTAAAACCGCCACCACCGACCGACAGCCAATTAGTAAGGTTTGTCACGTGAACAAAACATGCCAATTTGTGACTAGTACAGCACGTCAATGTGTCGGTTGCTAGTTGTAATTACTGGCGAAACGTTGTACTCGAATTGTAAATGTTGTGGGTTTACTCTCCAACACGTCACAAATTGGAATGTTTTATTTACGTGACAAACCATACTAATTGGCTGTGTCAGGTGGTGGTGAGATTAACGACACATTTATATTTACACAATCTAACCCAAAAAATCCTCTGATGGAGAAGTTATTGCTGTTGTAAATGTTTTGCAATGCCTTGTATTTGCCAAGATGTCACAATCCAAGAATTGGCAGCAAAGAAGTTAATAGCACTTCTGAGATTGCAATGCTGGTATCGCAATTCCTGCAAGACAATTGTACGATGTTGTTTTACGCGGCATCAATACGCGAACACGCGTATACTGAAATCTTGATCCTGTGAAAGTTGGATAAAATGTGCGAAGTCATCAACACCATCATCAGCCAGTGCTACACTCACAACACTCAACGAATGGTTCCCTTTCAACAACTACGCCACAGTTCCAAGTCTTGTTAATTGCTCTCCTTTAATAATGAAACTACGTTAAAACCCACGGAATTCGTTGACACTGAAAACAAACGTGACTATCAATAAGCTTTAAAATGGCCTTGGTGTAGGGGTTGTCTTGTAAAGTGCTTTACGATTACACTTTTTCATGCTAATATGGTTTTCAGAAACAACACAGTTATCTTGAGTGGCAGGTAAAATGAATGGCCTGAATCGGTTTTGCACCATTCTATCATCCCGTCAGGTTTTGGGCGTAATGTTAAGTGGCTTCATTTACACGGCACTTTACGCTCTTCGAAAGAGTCGCGTGTGTCGTTAAGAAGGCCATAAAGTATAGCCGACGGTATTATTTTACTTTTTTTTATTGAAAACATCCCAACGGTGACTTAAGGTTAGTTTAGAAGGCCCGAAAAAAGATTGTTTGTAAAGCGTGAAAGGGTGAATGTTTAATTCCTCTTCTTAAAACCTCGTATCAAATTAATCATAAACTAACATAAATTATAGGAAATTAGATTTTTTCATCATCAACAATTGTCTTTCCACTGCTGGATGAATAATTTTAAAGGTCTTGCATTGCCACAGGCTTTCACTGCATGGACTCATCTCATCATTCCACCTTTGCGTTAGTTGATTTCCTGGGGATGTTTTACCCTTTTCTTTTTTATTTCATTGACCATCATTCCGAATATCCTGAGTCTCAAGACTCATACGCTACAGCAATTTTACTGGAGCGGTTACACCTGATGACGGAGGCTTGTGTTGCTTCCGAAACGTCGTGATTTAATTTTATTTAAAATTTTTACCTACGTGACTTACCGAAAAAACCAAAGAGTATGAATCCTTGCAGTCGCGAAAACTTCAAATATCAAGACTCGGTTTGATGAGGGTTCTTCCTTGGAATGTTGGCTAATTATATGCAAAGGGTGTTTTGCGTGTGCGTAGAAAACCAGAGTACCCAGATAAACCCGAGGAATACGAGGGGATAATACTGAATGCATGGGTTTTCAAGCCCATTATTTTACACTCCCTTGTAAGTAACTTGCAGCCCAGTAAGTTTGTAAGTGTTACAAAGCGACGTGATCCACCAATTGTTCCCTCCAAAGCACTGAATTATGGGTGTGTACCAAAATGATGGAACAAAACATTTCTGATAACAATCTTGAAAGGTAACGCTTTCCCCTCCACTCCTAGGCAATCCCCCTAATGCGCCGGATGTGGTGACACACACACCTGCAATCCGTGCGGTTGGTTGAAGGGGAACTTAGCTCATCTCACTTGTCCGTGAGACGCGTGTGCACCGCAGTGTTACGCGTAGACCGCTCGCCATTCTGAGCAAACCTTCATCATTCTGAAATTTCATACGACACACGCAAAAGTACGTAAAAATGAATTGTCCGTATGTACCAGGTAGGGCCTTCTTTAACAAAATGCCTGACACGTGGGCTTTATTAATATTATTAACCCCAGAGTTATTATTCGTCTGTGAACTGGCCTCTGAGTTCAAATTGTACCATTTCCACTTCAAATTTACGGTCACCCCTTCGAACATATCCCAACTTGATTTTTCGGAAGCCATCACAGTAAAGTGTGGATATACGTACTCAGACATTATAATAGTGCTCTCACGATGGCTGATGTAGTTGCGGGGAGCGGTATTGTAGCGGTTGGCGTGCTGCGCTATGAACCCAGCAACCCGAATTCGATTCACACTTATGGCCAACACCAGTGACGATTATCTTAACCGGTCCTGGGCCTCCCCGAGGTCGACTCGGCCTCAAATGAGTACCTGGTGCGGTGTGTAGAAACATCACCACTGGGGAGACAAAGGCGGTCGGGCGTGGTGTTGGCCACCCACCCCTTCGTCGACTGTGCCGGCCTTGATAGGTGCTCGCTATAACAGCACTTGCCACCAACAGTTTGTTAAGGCTATATGGGGGATCTTTGTCTTTGGTGAATTTTTCACAACCGACGTGGCCACGTCTTCAATTCCTGTCGAAGCATCTGTTTTTCCTGGAACGGCTGTTTTGTCAGGCTTATGCGGGGCTCTGGTGCCCGGGGGTTTGTCACGTTCCCTTCTTACCCATTTCCCCAAAAAGTGCGTTGAGATGCAATAGTATTTTTAACGCCTTTTAAAAGCGTCAACTCCGATCCCCATTGCAGAATCAGCCAGGACCTGGCAAAGGACCTGGCCATCTTGGCACGCGAGATTCACGAAGTGGCCGGCACCGAGCCCAACTCCGTGAGCAGCAGCTCGTCGGCTGCGGGAGTGGCCGTCAGCGATGGGCCCCCCTCCCCCGGTTCCACCATTGAGGCCAAGGAGCAGGTGAGTCAGAGGGTCAAACTGTGGCGGTCGGCAATCGCTGGGTGTGGTAGTGCCGGCGGCGATGACGACGACGATGGTAGGTGCTTGTATTGCGGTGGCTTGCTTGCAGGGCGTGGTGTGTGGATTATGCAGAGGCGTGGCCATATTGTCGGCATTGGCTGGGTGGCGCTGTAGTTGGTGTTCGACGTGTAATCGTATGGGGGCCCAGTGAAAATCCAGGGGGTGACTTGGCTTGGCACTCCTCCGTTTGTGATCAAATTGAGTACTCCTTGTGGAAAGTTGGCGCAGTGATTGTCTCAAGCCCTGGGAATGTGGAATGTCCATCGTTGGCTATGTCATTTGCAAAAACACGCTAAGTAGCAGCACACTAGATAATGGAACAACTGTATGTCACCTGAATTTTTTAACTGATTGGCCGTGTCGGGTGGTGGAGGGTTACGACACATTTATAAATAACGCGATCTAACCCAAAAACGTTTATTATGAATTATTATGAATGTTTTTGTTTGTTCTGTTTAACAGTTTACATCTTGGGTTAAAAGCATTAATGCAACAGCTCTGTTCATGTCTCTCTCTGTCATGGAGCTGTATAGATGATCCCATCTGAATTTTAAAAAAAATGATACCGGGCAAATTGAGTAATGGGTTATCCAAACGTTTACAATTATAAAAACAGTAATAGTGGATAAGCAATTTTGCCCAAGACGATGACATCACCTCCCAATGACGACGTGTGGCATCGTTTGGCGACATCACGCGCCATGTGACGGCTCGTTTTTTTCTTAAGTGGTACAGACTCCGTGCACACGTGTCATTTTCCTCGTTTATTTATTTTCCCAGCTCGTGCAGAGGATAGCAGACGAGGCGATTAATTTCCGCAAAGTTCCCCCACACTCGTTGGCTGACGGACAAACCACCTGCGGGGCCGAGGCGCCTTACCGTGCCGGGGAGGGCAGCAAGCCCGACTCTGCAAGCAAACGCAAGACGTGGACACGCGACGAGGTAGCGCACTTCTGGGGAGGAGGAGAGAGTGTCTGAACTGTGGGCAATTACTGTGCGCAGGTCTACGATGTTGAGTGAAATGTGGAGTGTTCTAATCGCACCTCCGATCAGCATGGTCAGCTACGTACGGTGCGAACCTCCTCCTCGCTTCGCGATCATAAACTACATGAGGACTTACCACAGGAGATGTGGACAATGTCTGATGCACGAGTAGCAATGATTACAGACAGAATTATCCGCACTGCAGCTGGGACAAACTGCACGCTGGACCGCACCGTGAAAAGTTGCCCCTTGTATCCACCTTTTTCTGGCGGGCAAACAAAGGTTTATTCCACATCCAATAATGTTCTTGACTGGATATCAAAACTTGATCAATTCTTGTACATCATTTCTCATGCAAGAAGGAGGTGGATGGTGACAGTTCAGGATCCTGAGGGACAGTGACAGAAAGGGGATTTCCTTCGTCTAGCAGTGGATTGATCATGGCTTCTAATAAACACATTCCTGCGGAGGGAGCTGGTAGGGTCCACGGCGGCGTGGTGTATTCCGCAAATATGCCCGACTGTGAGGGCGGGCACAAGCCGGCGTGAGTAGGTTAAACGTTGAGTTTTATAAGGGCACCACGGGGTGACCAGCCCCTCCCCACCCCTCCCACCCCCCACCCAGCCCCTCCTCACCCTCCCCACCCAGCCCCTCCCTGCACGACGGACGCACGGACACAATAATCCCCTGTGGGCTGGTGTAACCAGGAGGTTCCTACCAGTATGCTACTGCTCAATCTTTCAATGTTTAGAACACCCACATACAGAGTATCTAAGGTGACAAACGGTTGTATCACCAGCTGTGAGTATCGTAGTTAATAAGATTTCTATTAATAGCAAAGCCATGAAACCGGATACTATTGTTGAAAACGGAATGTGATCTTTAGAGTGGTCGATTTGCACCGTAAACCACTGACAAAGTGTTTTTTTTCTTTAAATAAGTATCTTTATAGTTCTTGAACATATGGAACATAAGGCTGAATAATGCCTGCTCCAAAAGACATGAATGCTTTATGCCATTGTACCATTTGTATGCCACCAGCCAAGGCTGCTAGTCTGGATTTTGAACCAGCAGAGTTTGAAATGAAGAGACAATCGCACAATCTCAGAGCTGCTGTCACCCCTGTGTGACACGTTGACATTTGAGTGTGCGAAAAATGTGGACTGCGTATTGTTGAAATAAAAGGATTTTTTTTGTCATTCTGGCCAAACAGATGCAGCTGGATAACCTCATCCTGTCCTCCGTCGCACAACTGTCCCAGAAGATTCGCAGCAACACTGACAGAACGGCAACTAAAATGAGGTGTGTTCAGTTAATTTACTCCACGTTTGCAGAGTGCAACCGCGGATATGACTTATTCTGGCCAGGTAAGATTGCAAGCTGTACCAAGCTAAAAAAAAAGTTCATTGAGGGAGCCTCCTCTGTTCTTTAGAATCACTTTACTGTGCAAGGAAATGTACCGATGGAATTTCACAAACACGCATATATTCGGTGCCAGCGCTTTAACCTACGCGCGCATTATAAAGCCGTCTTTAAACATTTACATTATGCAAGTAACTTTGTTGCATTCTTAAATCCTTGCACAATTTTGAAAACTTCATTTATTAAGAACTGCTTTTTGCATTTAGTTTGTTGTCCTTCCCCCACACATCCGATTAGCACGGTTGGCTACGTACGGTGTGAAAGAAGTTCAACATACATACAATAGCCTGTGTTAAGCATTGCAGCTTCATTGTTTTTTTTTCGGCAGTGCAGTTGTACAAAGCCATTAAACTCAATTACAACCCATAGAGATGTATAATAATCTAGAGGGGTGGGGAGGCCCGATCCACAGCCTGCCACGAGGTCCAGGCAATGAAAGGCATCCACGTGGCCTGCGGGTAAAACAATCTCTAGGTGAAATGGATTATGCTAACATTGTTATTACAGTTTTACACAAGCAATGTCATAGTGGTTGTTGGTCTTCAATATAATTCGAGTCGATTGGTGGAACAGCAGTTAGCACATTGCATTCTTGGCTATATCTAACTTCAGTGGAAAGCAATGTCTGAACCAGTCCTGGGCACCTCCATTTACCAACTCGCCACTGACCAGTGTGGTGAGGTGTGGTCAAACAACCTCCATGACCGCGGTGGAGCAGGGGTAAGCCTTTATCTGGCATTTAATTAACAAAGGGCTATGAAAATATAAAATATGATAAACTTTTAGCATTTTGTATTTAAAATAATGAGCAGACTTATTCATCTAGGACGGTCCTATATTGGGATCTTGGGAAAATAAATTTTTCATGAGTATGTAATGTATATATGTTGGACTTCCTTCGCACCATATGTAGCCAACCGTGCTAATCGTAGGTGCAGGGGAAGGACAACAAGAAGAATAATGAATGGTAAATGTACAGATTTGAAGCTTTGGTGACTGCAAGGATTCATACTCTTTGCTTTTTTCGGTAAAGTCACGTGGGTAAAAAATAAAATAAATGAAAACAACTAAATTAAATCGCGACGTTTCGGGCGCAACACAAGCGTCCTTCTTCAGATGGGGACAACGTAGCGAAAGCACAACCGCTTAAGTGTGTCAGACAACCTCAAGGACAATTGTATTGAGCCCGAAACGTCGTGATTTAATTTAGTTTTCATTTATTTTCTTTTATTTTTTACCTACGTGACTTTACCGAAAAAACCAAAGAGTAAGAGTACAGCCCTTTTGTCAGTCCTGTCTGTCGTGTCAGTTACGGGGGCTATTTGACCATACTTCACCACGCTGGTCAACGCGTATTGGTGAAGGTTGGTGTCCCATGACTGGTTCAAACACTGCTCGTCACTGACAGTGACCGAGATTCAAACTGTGGAGATCATCTGGTTCAACTCACGGCGCACTAACCCTTTCGCCACCGCTCCACGCCCCAAGTTTGTAATCATCTCAAAATGTGTCCTTGTGTTGTTAATGGTCTTTTGACAATGACAACGTCACTTGGAGGTTTGAGTTGTAAAAAAAGTCACGAGTGAAATCGGCTGTCCGTAGGATCCTGCTGCGGGATGAGGAGAGGAACTGGCCGGAGATCGAGTCTCGTCTCAACTCCGACAGCGAAGTTCCGTTGCTGAAGACATCCAACAAGGTAGAGTAATCTTTTTTATTTTTTTTTATGTTTTACAGTAAAACCTTGGATTGTGAGTAACATGGTCTGCGAGTGTTTTGCAAGGCGAGCAATTTTTTAAAATAAATATTAATTTGATAAACGAGCGAGGTCTTGCAATGCGAGTAGTACGTGTATACGCTTTGTCTGCCGAGCGTCACATGATCACAAGTGATATACGAGTGCTTTGGATTACAAGCACGTTTCCGGAACGAACTATGCTCGCAATCCAAGGTTTTACTGTGTTACAACAACATGGGGCATCTTCTTGGTTTTTTCGGTAAAGTCACGTAGAAGGGAAATAATAAAATTTAAAAAATGTAACATAATAAAATACAATTCTCATACTAAAATACAAGTGAGAATTGTATTTTACTATGTTTTATTTTTATTTATTTTATTATTTCCCTTCTACGTGACTTTACCGAAAGAAACAAGAAGATGAATCCCTGCAGTCACGAAAGAAGTTTTAAATCGAAAAATGAAAGGGGCTGCGTCCGCTGCCCCAACCAATTGTGGAACTCGCGCAAGGGAGAATGATGACGATTTAAATGTGGAGGGGGAGGAGAAGAATAATGACCAGCACACTCAGGGAAAATCTGGGAAGAGGGAAAAGACGAGGGAAAGAGTTTTCTTATTTTATGAATTGCAGAGGACGGTGGCGCAGATGTTTCACGGGAAATCTAGAAACGCTCAACAAGAAAAAACTTGGAGCCAAGCTTCGTACCTTTTGCAAATTGCATGTTGCGCAGGTCTTCTGGACACAACACGAAACAGGAGCATCATTTAAATGATTGATAACATCTTGATGGAGATCAAGAAAGAGCCCTGTTGGCACACGCTGTCTAATGGCAGTACCATTAAGGTTAATTACCGTGTAATGTCAACAGATTACCTTAATTATCTGTGTGGGAAAACGGAGCAGATTGTTCAGCATTAAATTTGATTGACATCGCAAACACAGGTGAGGCCATCGTTTTTGCAACCAATTATCTTGAGCGCTTTGATGATTTATGTCTTTTCAGGATATTGCGTCCATATTGAGGGACCTTCGAACAGTTGAAAGGCAGCTGGAAGGTAAGATGTCACCTGTGCTTGTGTGTATGGATAAATCTTCGACTGGCACTTCTCAAAGCCATTTCATTTTACGTGACGTAAACCCTAAAATCACGTGCTTGTAATGAATTATGTTTATTGAAGCAGCACGGTCAGGAGTAAGCTGCACAAGTTAGAGTCTTAGTGGGGTTTCATTATATTTTTGAGAAAGCAAGGGAGGTGAGTCTTAGGTGGTTTGCAGCACGTGTTGAAAAGAGATGAAGAAGATGCAATTAGAAGGGCTGTGAAGATTAGAGACCCATACACTCACATAGAGACCCATACACTCACATAGAGACCCATACACTCACATAGAGACCCATACACTCACATAGAGACCCATACACGCACATAGAGACCCATACACTCACATAGAGACCCATACACTCACATAGAGACCCATACATTCACATAGAGACCCATACACTCACATAGAGACCCATACGCTCACATAGAGACCCATACGCTCACATAGAGACCCATATGCTCGCATAGAGACCCATACACTCGCATAGAGACCCATACACGCACATAGTGACCCATAGACTCACATAGAGACCCAGAGACCTAGATCTATGGAGATGTCAGCGGTACAGGGCACCAAAGCATAGAGGGAGACCGAGGGCGAGGTGGGAGGATGCGGTGGAACGAGAAGTGAGGGGGCGGTGGATGTGACGAGAGGACGGGCACGGAATTGAAGCTCACGGAGACAGAAAGTCCCCGCAGCTCACCCCACGCAATGATCAGGCTTTTGGCTTAGAAGAAGTAAAGGGAATACAGAGCTCCAACATTAACTAAACATTTGCCCAGGATGACTATAGTTTGATGAGCACCTTTCACATGTAAGTTCATGCTTGTAATACGTCACTTTGGCAAGATATAGCCACCAATTTCTGTATTGTTGAAGAACCTCTGATATTATTCTCAAGAACAGGCCACTCTGTACCACTGCGTTGGCTAACTTTTGAGAGCTACTCACATTTTCTGAATTATTACATTGGCCCCCAAACCATGCAGGTTGTGTATGGGCTGTTATTTTACACCATATTTTACCACGCTGGTCAGTGTGACTTGATGAAGGCGGGGAGCATAGATGCTACAGCATATTCGAGTACAACAGTGGATTTTGTTCCACTACACCCTACTGAAAGCGTTGTTGCAGTCCGTGTTAAATGGGGCAGCAGATCAACAGCACTTATCAAGGAAGGGTCACGGATAACAGTGCATACTCAAGTGTCTCCGGAACCCATTACACATGCATTACAAGGCATTGAAGTCTCGTCACTGTTAGAGGAAGACACAATAAAGAAATAAAACATCTCCAGATATGATAAAGTGTACTTGTGTGTACTTAAATATTTTAATGCAAGCCTCAGACTTTATCATCATTCATGGTTAAATCCACTGTTTGATATGCACGGACATTTGAGTTCTATCCCATTACATTCTCCACGTACTAAATTTTCGTCTCGCATGCAAAACATCATTGACAAAGTAGTTGTCCAAACGTCCCCAATGCTTCCCCGGATAAGTACCGGGTTCGGTTCTCACAATCGTATACAATGTGCGGCACGTTGCTACGCTCACACCTACTGGGCATCAGGTCCAGCTACCGCGAAAGTCAGCTTCGTAGCTTATCAGATTCCTCCAGTCTAAATCAAGATTCTTACTCTGACACCTGCAAGAGTCGTCGAGTGAAAAGGTGCCTCTCTGACCTTGCTCTTCTGCAGTCATCAATGCCATGATCGATCCGGACAACGTTCTGGACCGCTGGTGCGACAAGGAGCAGGCCAGGAAGGCTGCACAAGTCCGCTCGCGAACTGGGAGTCGACGCGGCAGCGGCGGAGGTTTGGACGCGTCGCTGTGCACGGAGCCCGACAGCGTGGGCTCCGAGGCGGAGTACAGCGTCCACTTCAACAAGTTCCATCCGAGCGGCGAGGAGGACGAGGGGGAGGAAGAAGGGCCCTGCTACGTGTGAGGGCCCCCCCCCCCCACCACTGCCGAGGCGCGCGGAAACGCGAGGCCATTTTGTGCCGCCCCCCCCCCTTCCTTGCACTGAACGCCGAACTAAGCTGCTGTTATCTTTCTTTGTTTTTGTTGCACAATGTGTTCTCAAACACTGGTTTTGGCTGTATATTTTACTTTCGTGTTATTTATGTTAGTTTTTCTGCTGCGTATCTTTTTTTTACACGTTTGCAGTTTGTTTGTAAGCCGGTACACTTGATCAGTGGGCATCGCAAAACTCAAGTTGGAGGGAATTGTGGGATAATGCTAAGAAATATTGTGGTAACCACGATGATGATGATGGTGAATCACAGAAATGCACTATGGAGGTGTTTAACACTAACTGTAGGTTAACTGTGTACTGAATCCAATTATGCGATATTCACAATGCAAACATGTACCATCTCGACAGGTACTAATTTAGCAAACGTTTAATGCGGCATCTCCAGCCAACAGTTTTGTGAGGCCTTCTCTTACCTCCGCCGCACTTGCGTTATTTAAGGTAATACTTTTCAGACATCAAATCTACGTACACTTTATTTGGGGGGGGGTCTTACATTCAAAATCAAAGATATTAAATATATATATAGAGAGATAGAGACGACAAAAATAGGAAAGTGCACCAAACACTGTATGGAATTGTTGCACTGCTGGTATGACCTCTCATAATCATATGCATGATTATTATTATTATTTAAAATGTTTTGCACGTGTCATCTTTGTTAATGTTATGGACAGATCAAATAATATTTTGTTGGGATCCTAAGCTAAGAAATGTTCTGCCACTTGTTACCAATCTGATTTAATTATGGATACAAATTGGTAACTGTTCAAGACATCGGTCCTTAAAAATTGTTAAGTTGCCATAATGAAATGCATAGTTTGTTTTTTTACATTAAATGCCGTTTTAGATTTTTCAAGCTGATCATATTTTCCCACAATTCTAGAAGATGTATGAAACTTGTCCTTGGAACGTGAGCCATCGAAACAATGGACAGAGGTTATCACAAAAAGGCTTTTAATTGCTGCCATTTGATTTTGTTAATCAAAGTGTTTATTGTTCGAGTTCACGACCCTGTCTTAAGTGCCTCATCTTTAGAGCCACTCCTTGCTACTGACTGCTTAAACCCATCGAGCACACGATTGACTCAAGAGTCGAGATTCAATTTAAAGTGAATGAGACAGGGTAGGTAGATAGATGGTCGTTGTAAAAAAAAATGCCATGACGCTATATCCATGGTGTTTCACATTTTTCCACATGCAGCGTTATTCGCATTGTTTTAAGCATTCTAAAATATATTCGGAATCGAAAGTTGTTTACAATGCTTGGTACAGTGTTTTCAATGCCATAAAGATATCCACGCAGCTTAAAAGAAGGCCACTTATTGAATATATTCTGATTGTTTAAACATTCAAACATATATTCGGAAAATAAAAAAGTTGTTTACAATGCTAGGTACAGTAAACGGTTGCATGCCTTTAAGTTTCTGCTTTAGAGTAAAGGCCATGATAACGGTTGGGCAATTTTAGGGTCATTATTGCCAGCATTGTTGTGACAAACCGATTACTTTGAGCAACTGTGGAAACTTGATTTAGGAAGTTTCATCGTGTAACAGAGGTCTGTCTAAACCAGTGAAACATGTTTGAAACGTTTTAACAATAATGGAGCTAGAGGGACGGGAAGTTGTCATCTCAGTTACCCCCCCACCAGGGGGGAGCAGTGGTGTGAGATCCAGTAAATTGCTCTCTCCACATTTAGGCCGACTAATATTTTTACAAAAATGGAAACATAACCCAGTGCCGGTTGCTGGCAACAATGTCTGAACAATTGCCCGATTGTGCCCCGTGGCTTTAACCGACTACTGCTCAAGAATGGGTAAAACAAAAATATATATATTGGACATTTTTGTTTAGGTTGCCACTCAGGCTGTAGACTTTTGCCTAAAAGACATGAATGTTTAGTTTAAAGCTGTGGCCTTGATTGTGTGGTGTTGTAACAACGGTTTGGCCGGACTAAGAATCCAGTGCCTGGAGTGTGTATGTGATAAGAGGATTTCAAACCCTCTACTTGAAGTCAATGCAGAAGTTGGGTGGGTTTGTTTAAAGAGAGAAATCATCTGAAGCAAAACGTTCAGTCTTTAATTGATTGCTGTCAGTGTGTGACTATAAAAGTATATGTACATTTGAGATTTTATTTAAAATTGCAGATATCAAAATTGTAAAAAAAAAACACATTCAAATGTGCAGTATTGTAAAGTAGTCTCGAAAAGTGGGTTTGTTTAATATACAACATTCCTGCCTATGGTATTGCTGAAAAAATAAATGTACTGTTCTCGTATTAACAACATAAAACTATTCAATCTATTTACTGTATAGTGTAAAATGGATCATTCACATGTGCTACTGCAATCTGTGGGGGTCATTCGACTGGTTCATTGTAAAAAACTAAAAACTGTCAAATGCACTTGGACAAGAAAACAAAATGCGCAAAATGAAACAGAAGAATGAAGTAGTGACAACCACTTGACGCCAATATGTTTCTCAAACTACAATTCTTGGGCCCAAATTCTCCCTGGCTGTCTTCACATACACCTATTCACATTTTAAGTCACGGTAATTGGTTCGTGTTGCATGCACATGTTAGGTTGGGTTATATAATTTTGACGTAAAATGCACCTGCTTTGGCGCCCAAAGACTTGAGTTTGAGAACCATTTTTGGTACCCAAAAATGACGGTCGTCCCCTTTTAAATTCCTCAAGAGCGCACACGACAGCCAGTTGATGTGGCCTGCGTTGGGTACTGTTCATGTGCGGTTATACTTCAGGCTGTCATCCCATGCACATTTATCGTTAGAACAAAAAACACACCCCGCCACCTTGCTTTTGATGGTTGCAGAAACTAATTGTGTAACGGATTTTTTTAATTCATAAGCCAAAAAAAACTAAAATAAGCCACTCCTGGCAATCTATAGATATACACTACTGTAATTGCTTGTGCCGATGGCCTGGTGTATGTGTGCGTGCGTATGTACAATAGTTGTTAGATGGTAGTTGTGAATGGTACGCTTTTACATGCACATCAAACCGTGCTTTTTTTGGAAGAATGTATAGAAAGCTTTGGGGTATGTGTGATATCATGTCGCCATGGATATATTCGTCACAACTTTGTTCAAAACACATGTAGCTGATCATTTCGTTTTAATTTTGTCTGTTCAATGTTTTCTCCATAGTTTTGAATGTCTAATTTTATAGAAGTCTACACACAGGCTCTTCACGTTTTATTTTTGTAAGCTCGTGAAATGCTGCCATCGATTGCTTGGTTCTCTGTGTAGATTATTCCTGTCAAGTAATAAAGTCACTAGGTATACTTACTGCATTTTCCCTGTGTTTGTGTAATGAGACGTTAACTACATCGCCTGGCATGCAGAAGGTCGTGGGTTCGATCCCGACCTTGACGCCTGTATATTTGGAGTTTGCATGTTCTCCCCGTGTTCGCGTGGATTTTCTCCAGGTCCTCCGATTTTTCCTTCCACATTTAGAATCGTGCGTTTTGAGTATTTGGCTGCTGTAAATTTCCAAATGATAAGTGACTTCGTTCAGCAATGATTTGTGGCCAGGTCGCTTCTGAAAAAGAGCTATATAGCTCAGCGGGCCTTACCTGGTAAAATCAAAAGAAGTTTTCATGGTTTAACGTAGTGACGGATTCCTGCCATTCTATTCTTGCATGTGCAATTATGCTCAGGAGCTAACTGCCGTTGTCCACGTCTGCTAGACACGCGGCGAGAGCACCACGAGAGGGCCTCGTGAGAGAATTGGTGTCCATACTCTTTGGTTCTTTCGGTAAAGTCACGTAGGTAGAAAATTAATCACGACGTTTCGGGCACAACACAAGCGTCCATCATCAGATGGGAAAGCATGGTCTGCTGAGGCAGACTGTTTTAAACCTTTAAAACCTTTCAAACAGTCTGCCTCAGCATACAATACTTTCCCACCTGATGGATGCTTGTGTTGTGCCTGAAACGTCGTGATTTATTTTATTTTCTACCTACGCGACTTTACCAAAAGAGCCAAAGAGTATGGATTCCTGCAGTCACGAAAGCTTCAAATCAAGATTGATTTGGTGTCGTTTTGCTCTTCCTCCTCTGCTGAAGGAATGCAGACTACAGTGGCTTACTGTGGTCCCTAGTTTGGGTTGCATGGCCACCTACGGACAGTTTTATTTATTTAACGAATGCTTTTACGCGACTTTCACGGAGAGCACACGCAGGAGATGTGCACATTAGACTGTTAACATTTTGATGTCATTGCCCGTTACACCGGTGTCTTCAAAGAATATCAATGTCAAGAGGTGCGATGTTTGTTTCTCAAATGAGATGTTTATTCTGAGCCTCCTCGTTGTGCCGCTGTGTTCTTGCTGAATGAGGTTGACAATTATAGCATCTCGGAAAGGAGTACAACGTGACAGAGGGTCAGATGAATGCGGTGGATCATGTATGAGAATTGTGGATTTGCTTAGAGAAGAGGCACTAAATAGAGGAGTTCAGGGAGAGAAGAAATCCACGTGGCTGACCCCATGCTTTCATGGAACCTTTGGCTACGAAGAAAGGACACGTGACAAAAGTGCGAACGTATTGTAATCAAGCGAGTACCGTCTTACAGAAGGCGTGATCGTATTTTTAGAACGAAGCCTATAAACTGCGTTATCAGCTTAACCACACTCCCACACCATCACAACAATGACATCGCCAGACCACCTCATCACACCACACTAGCACCTCATCGGCTTAGTAGCACAGCGTAGCGCTAACCGCTACACCCACCGCTCCACAACCACAACAACAACACTACCACTATGGAGCGTCAGCCAAAAGAGGGAACTCGTTTCTCGCAGAGGAGGTGACAAGATACGTTTCAAAGTATATTTTGTTGAGCCAGGTATGAGCTCAACAGACTGGGGGGGATAGTCTTTTTCTGCAAGAGTGACTTGGGTTTCTGTGCAGTGGATTGATCGTGGCTGATGGTGTTATCATTCAAAAAAGTTGTCCGTCTAAAATAAGCAACACTCGCCTTCACGTAATACTTTAGAGTGCTGGACTTGCACATCCGTTTGCCAGTCCACTGCTGGATGGAGACCTCCAGACGCTGCCGTGCAAGGTCGTGGGAGTTAAATGACCATACTTCACCACGCTGGTCAGTGCAGGCTTGTTTCCTGCAGTGTTCCTGCTGTGTACTTTGTTTTCTAGAGCACAGCAACCAAGATCAACTTTAATTCACTTCCACAAAAATGCATGTCATCTCCGGTTGTCTTACCAAAACAGAAGTTGCCAATTCACTCGCTCGGCACGAGTAGTTGCAACAGGTCTCTTAAACACCCCCCCCCCCTCCTCTGTCTACTCTGTCGTATTAATGAATACACCACGGGCAGTTTGTTTGGCATGTCACGTGCAGTTAGGTAAAGTGTGGATACTCCCACCTATTTTGATTTGAAGCTTTCGTGACTGCAGGAATCCTTTCTCTTTGGTTCTAAAGTCACGCAGCAGTTTTTTTTTCTTGCTGTGGTTGTCCCACCTGATGACGATTGCTCGTTTTGCGATCGAAACGTCGTGATCTGTTATTTTTCTACCGACGTGACTTCACCGAAACTCCCACATATTCTTCTTGGTTCTCAGGTGAATTCTTCACCTTCACCTGAGGACGGCTGCTTGCGTTGTGGCCGAAACGTCGTGAGAATTATTTATTATGTTTTATTTTTATTATTTTATTACTTCCCTTCTACGTGACTTTACCGAAAGAACCAAGAAGATGAATCCCTGCAGTCACGAAAGCTTTAAATTGAAATCTCCCACATATTCTTCTAAGATGCCTTGCCAGCATGGAAGAGTAGGCCAAACACCCCCCCCCCACCCCTCCTCGAGTGATCATTTCGAGCTCCACGTTGAGGGCCACCTGCCAGCAGTAGCGTGAGTAAGCAATTGCAGGGCTGCGCCTTCACCGTTGTATGCTCTCATCAATAAAGGCCAATGAGGTTTAAAAATAAGTAGAACCAGTAAAAACTAAGTTTTTCACTATAAATCCTTTATATGCGCGGCGGCTCGAGTCCTCTCGTCCTCTGGCTTGAGATGGCTGCCACCTATGGGTCAGATTATTGCATTGCACCATTAAGCAATTGGTAATTAAATATATTTTTGTCCTAAAAAGTGTAAAATTTTGGAAAAAAAATTTCACGAACATTAATTGTCACGCACAACGAGTCTGTGTGGAAAATGTCAGCTCGATTGGATCACGGGAAGTGGGTTAAAAAACGACCGAAAGATTTGCACGGTCCTAAGCAAGCAAGCGAACTTAATATAAAGGATTTAATAAAAAATGTGACCAGAGAGAGTGCGGTGACCCTGCGTCACGTGAGTAGTTCAACAACCCGTCCAGCATGTTTTGAATTTGCTTTAAAATGTACGGTGGGAGTTTCTACATCTACATCTGGATTCTTGTGGACTGATATATCTCGGTGAATCAGTAACCATAAAATTTCGATTTAAAGCTTTCGTGACTGCAGGGATTCATCTTCTTGGTTATTTCGGTAAAGTCACGTAGAAGGGAAATAATAAAATAATAAAAATTTAAAAACATAATAAAATACTATTCTCACGACGTTTCGGCCACAACGCACGGCTGCTTGCGTTGTGGCCGAAACGTCGTGAGAATTGTATTTTATTTTTTGTATTTTATTATGTTTTTTTTATTATTTCCCTTCTACGTGACTTTACCGAAAGAACCAAGAACAGTAACCATAACTTCACCTTGTGAGGACCTCTAAAGACACATCGCTTACAAGGCAGATACAATAAGAGAGGTGCGAGGTGGTAGGTAGGCAGGCATGGTTTCCACTAGTCCGATGTGTTGTTACCCAGACCGGGGAAATTTGGCATCTGCGTTCGGGTGGCAGGAATTTATTTGTATTGAGATCTGGGAGCGATATTTTGTTGAACTTCATTGCCGTACAGTGCACAGTTTGTATAGACTCAGGCTGACTGAGAAATAAACCTGCGTTTGGTCTGTGGAAAAGGTGACAAAAGCCTGATATGTAGGTTTTGACTGCAGCTAATGTGTATTCCTTTGTTATTGCCATTAAGACACATTACAATTAATAAATAACTTTTTTTTATTTTGCCCGGTAAGGCCCACTCGGCTATATACCTTTTTTAGAAGCGACCTGGCCACAAATGACGGCTCAACGAAGTGGCTCATCACGTGGAAATTGATAACAGCCAAATACTCTAAAACGCGTGTTGATTCTAAATGTGGAGGGAAAACCCGGAGGACCCGGAGAAAATCCATTCGACAAGAGGGAGAATATGCAAATTCAAAGTTTACAGGCGTCAATGTCGGGGTTGAACCCACGACCTCCTGTATACGAGGCGATGTAGTTACCATCTAGCCACCGGGGCACCCATGTATAAGCGCCTGGCTCTATGCTTTAAGCTTGCATATTAAAAACAATATAATAAAACTGGGCCACCAATGATTAAATCACCCAGAATGTGTCCAATGTCGTAAAGATTGGGAAGCTGAGCAGTCTTAGTTCGGGCCACTACCCTGTTTATCAGGTGTTATAGGCTGCGGGGCTATGTTGTGGGCAGCAGAGATCAGGACGGCAACATTTGTTTTGTACTTCACCTTCTATGCCCCACGCTTATGCTTCCTGCTTTCACCAGCCCGCATTGCCCAGTGTGGTGAGGTATAGCCAAATAACCCCCCATGAACTTCTTTCGCACCGTACGTAGCCAACCGTGCTCATCGGAGGTGCGGGGGAAGGACAACAAACTAAACACAAAAAGCTGTTCTAAAGACATGAGTTTTAAATCCAGATTTAAAAGTTGCGTAGCTCCAGTGGCTTCCGAATATCGGAAGGAAGAGCGTTCCAGACGGCCATGACCCACGGTGTATGGGGCAGCCCTCACCGAGCAGTGGATTGACAAAGGGCTGTACGTGTAACATCAAAACACCGTACCAGCCTGTGACAACTAAAGCTTGTTGCTTGGGGCACACACACACATTCACGTGGTGTTTATATTGTACTCAGGAATGCACTGCAAGAGTCAGCTGTGGTACAACACACGGAAGCCCAGTTCGAGATGTGGTAAATAGGTAAACAGCCGGGTAAACACCGACATTTTCACACGCGTGCTTTCACGTGATAAACGTGGGGTTTCACGTCTCTGTTGACCACAATGTCTGGCAACAACAAGGCAGGCCTAGGTTGGAATCCGCCCACTGACACGCTTAACTGCTGCACAATGCACTTACGTTATTCTTTTGTATCGTGTTTGGGGGGGAAAGGCAACAACAGCCGGTTGCAAATTTATTTTTGATGTTCTG